GTCAGCGACAGAGGTTTGGGGAAAGGCCAGGCAATTGAGACTGAACGGATTGCTCATGATGGAACTGGCAGACACGATGGGCCGAATGGCCTCCTTTCTGTGCTGTAAACGTCTATGGTTCTACAGGAGACAGCAGAGGCTTTTCCTCTCTTCTCAGTGGAAGGTTTCCTTCACAGCAACATAAACAGTGGATCCGTTTTCCCCGCACTATCAGGTCCTACCAATACAGAACTCATCAAAACAGTGACACGTTGCCTCAAAGCAAAGGCCAGGGGGACGGTGGAGGGGCAGATTGTTTTCTAGCCATTAAAACAATGACTAGAACTTCTGTCGATGTCATTATGTTTCACAACAAAAAATCAGTGCAATCTTTGAGTCAGAAATCATCGTTCAGTTCTGAAAAAACTAATGCAAAACACAGCACAGCGCAGAGCGTGACACTACACCGATCGCGCAGTTCCACAAACTCCCATCAGCGTCTCGCTGATCAGCACACACACATTTTGACACGTGTTCTGTAGCAATGGGACCCCACCAGAGGGAATCACAGGTACCCTGAAAGGTGTAACTTAGAGGGTAACCGCACACTGCTATTTGGGATGGCCTCTGCATGTGTGGCGGGGGTAAAAAGGGGCATGTGATGTGCTAATTATCTCTACTTGTAAAGCTGGGTTTAGCCAGTGATCCCCAAAGCGACGCTGAGATACTGTGATCCATACGGCTTCAGCACTAAAGGCTCGGCTCAGCTCAATAACCCATGGTTTACACACAGACAAAGACATCTGCCCATGGTTTACAAATGGCCCAGAGAATAACGTTTATACACGGCCCAGAGTACACAATAACCCGCGGCACGATGCACAGTTGGGTTTACACGTTGTTTACAAATGGTGCATTATAAAGCCGAACATCTCCTATGAAACGGCAGTCACATGTAAATTGGTTATAGTTCCACACGGTGAGACAGCCACACAGGAAATCAAAACCGTACTGAAAAACAGTGGCACCTCCTCACACGGTACATACATTGCTTGCGTATCTCAATCAGAGCTTGCAGTTTATCGTGCCCTTATCATGCTGCGATGTCTCAACACCCTTCTCCGTAATCAGTCACGTGCACCGGCTGCTTTTGGAGATGGCCAATTTGTCCTCAGAGGAAATTCCCACAACCTACTCGGTTGATTGATGTGAATGGCCAATTCATAACATCAAATAATAACTCTTGCATTTGATATAGCACCTTTCGCTTCGCAGGTCTCCCCGTGTATTTTGTTGGTGTACACTTGTCTGGAGGATTGTCGGCCAGTTAACAGGGAGAAAATCCCAAAGCATTGTAGGATCTTTAATGTGCATCCAACAAAGACTCATTTGAATTTCAAAGTCAATAGATCGTACCTGTGCTAATGCTCCCCCTCTCCGCAGTACTGCTCACAAGCCTCACACTGTCAATGCAAGCCCACACACACACACACACAATTATAAACACTCTCCCACACAACACGTTATAAAACACACGCTCAAATACATTATAAACATACACACGTTATAAACACACACACATGATCGTTCTAAACATACACACAACACGTTCTAAACACACACACATATTATAAACACACACAACACATTATAAACACACGCGCACACATCACATTGTAAATGTGCCTCCACCCTCAACTCCAGAACTACTGGGGTCCTGACCGACTGCCTGTCCGACATCAAGTCCTGGACGAGGGACAACTTTCTCCAGCTGAATGTCAGCAAGACCGAGTCCCTTATGATTGGCTTGTGCCAGCGTCTCCGCACCTCGGGCACTGACAGCATCAACCTCCACGGCTGCACCTCAACCTCACGAAACCAGTCAAGAACCTGGGTGTCTTGTTTGACCCTGAACTGTCCTTTCTCCCCACATCCGCACCATGACCAACACTCCCTACCACCACCTCCGCAACATTGCCAGACTCCGCCACTGCCTCACCCCTCAGGCTGCCCAAACCCTCACCCACACATTCATCACATCAAGGCTCGATTAAGGGAACTCCCTCCTCATCGACCTTCCCAACTCTTCCCTTCACAATCTACAGATCATCCAAAATTCTGCAGCTCGTGTACTCTCACGCACCAGGCTCCTCAAGATCCTCCTCTTCGACCGTGCCTTCGGTCGCCCTCCCACGTCTCTGCCTTCCCTCACCCCAACCCCACTCCTCCCGCATGCTCGGGCCCTGACCCCTGACTTTCCAGCGCCTTGGGACATCCTCCCAACATGAAAGGCGCTCTATAAATGTAACTGTGTTGCTGTTGTAAACACAACACATTATAAACACACACATAACACGTTATAACCAAATCAGACTATGTTATAAACACACAACTGATGATGTGACCCTATGCCCACACCTGCCAATCCCCAATAAATTGATCTACACCAATTGCTAAAAGTATCTAAAGGATTTTCCAGTCACATTGAACAATGTACCACCCACCAATGTTGTAACGGCATAAAGTAACTTTCTGCTTCTCTTCCTCCTCCCAGTAGGGCTTTATAAACCTCTGGCTACCTCCCTTCCCAGCTTCCTCAAGGTGTCAGTCTCTTATCCTTCCCCTGTCTGCTGGGCCGGTTCCACAGAGCCTTCAGGTCTTCACCCACGTGGGGACTATCTCTGTGTGAGCCCGGGCCAGTGAGTGGGAGAGCAATAGGAAAGAAGACAGTGAGGCTTCAACCCGCAAGCCTCCAACTCAGAGGCCAAAGTGTGAACAACAAAGCCAGACATATCCTGAGGACAACCTCAAACGTATAATTAGAAACTGAAACAGCAGAATAAACCCAATGAATCTGGTGTTAGCAAGGCTGTTAAATGCCCCAGTGCTTTGCTTACAATTACATTTACAGTCAAACCTCTCTCTTATAAAGCAAAGCACAGTCGAGGTCCAGATCTCACCTCACAAACAAGTCTCGGAACACAATACAACATCCCTGCATGATGTTAATATTACATCAACTACTTTTCGTTTTTAACAGTGCAACAAACCACTTACCTGAAGTAAGTGCTGAAGAAAATATCACTCGTCCCCACACCCATCTCAAGTGCAATTTGAATTGGTCTCAAACAGGCAATTATTCCTGAATGCAGTTATCCGATATTTGGGCTAAAATGAACTGCAAACAGGCAAATGTTCCTTTAGGAGAATCGCTCTCTGTGCTTAGAACCATTTCATAGAAATGTTCATAGAAAGATAGAAAGTACTTCATAGGAGGCCATTCAGCCCTATTTGGTGCTCGTTCCCCACTGGAGCTCTCTACTCTAACCCCAGTCCCTGCTCTCTCTCTCTCCCCCCCATCGTGTCTGTGCTGGTGCTCACTTCCCACTGGAGCTCTCTGCTCTAAACCCATATTTCTACAATAGGACCAGATTAACAGGATAGAGTGGATCCCAGGAGAGTGTGTGAGGCTCAGGCTGCTGTTCAAACTTCAGCATCATCCTGTGGAGCCAATTAAGGTTCAACCAGCAGCTGGGAAAGAGGTTCAGGGTGACTCACACTGGTATCTTTGGACCTGCTATTTACCAGCCATTTTTCTAATCCCACAATACACTCGCTCTCTCTCCATCACTCGATCATTTTGGCTGCAGTTTAGGAATCCAGTGACTGTATGTTCACTGTTTGTGCGTTCTCTGTACTGTACAGTCACTGCACGGCAGCAAGCGAACATCCTAACCGCAGAAGGGTCTAACCTCATCTGTCACACCCACAACCACAAGTAGCATTTATATAGCGCCCTTCCCACAGGGTAGTGTCGCAGAGCGCTTGATTGTGTTACAATACCTTCAATTACACACTTAATGTTTAACGGTCAGAACAACTGGATATATGTTACACTCAAGTAATAGTGCAATTCTATACATACATTGATATATATATAAATTCATTTATATAAATATATAAATTTCTTTACAATTATACTCAGTAACAATTTAGGAACCGTATTTATAATAATCCTTGCATTTGATATAGTGTCTTATCATGTTTTCAAAGCGCTTCACAGAATATACTGTAAAGTGGATTACCTGTGTGTTTTGTGGGCAAAATTATTTGTGACTCTTTGCAAAGGGAAGGTTTCATTAGCTTAAACCTAGCAGCAAATACAATGATCGCGTTTGGACTTGAGAACTATTCATAACACGCCAGAGTTTCCTCTGAAAAATTACAGTATAAATGAAACTTCAATAAATTCAAAGAGAAATATTTGTTTCTCTGTACATTAGCTTTGGACTAACACTCTCACGTGTTTCCAAGCCAGAACGCCTGGACTCTTAAGAAATGGGCAGACAGTAGTGTTGTGATTTTGGAAGGATGAGGTCAAATAGGCTGCCTGTATATTTTGCCTGTCATGGCACTTAAGCACTCTTAGCCCTGTCCCCACCAGCTGAATAGTACTCGATGGGAAAAAGGTCAGAGCTCGTCGCTTTGTGTGCGTTAATCAGCGAATCAAACTACCCAAAAAACATTAAACAGTGAAACTAATTCAATAAAAATCACAGTGATATAATTACTGGGAGGGGGGAGGGGGGGAGAGATACTCTGGGGCTCCCTGATAATTCTCCCCCACTCCCCTTCCCTCGTACAGCCGAGAAATGTGACAAGAGTCCCAGGTTTATTGGTAACTTGGTCAGAGTAAAGAGGTACCAAGCAGTGGTCCAGTGGACCTTCTGGAAGGTTTGGGGCGGGGGAGGTGAGGTGGGCAAGAGGTCAAGATGGCAAGATAGCAAATCTCCTTCCCACCCCCCACCTCCTCAAACCCAAGTCGTCTGTGATGCATACAAGGGGAAGGGAATAGAGTAGGAGGGATAGGAAGGGTAGAGGCTTGTGTGGAACCTAAAGTACAGATATCAGCACAGACTCAGTGATTCCGTGCCGGTTCTTCTATGGGTTTCTATGTGTTTCCATTGGTCTCCATTATACTGGTTATCACCAGTAAAGATTTTAGTTTTTTGGCAAATGGACAAAATTAGTCGGTCATTTATTGCCCACTTCGCCCCACAACACCCAAATACTGCACCCACGCATCCCATAGCCCACCCACTCACATACCCCACTCACCCGCACATAACCCGCCCATTCTGACCCACCTACCAAACCAGCAAAGATGCAAAGCCTCAGTTCTCTACTTGTACCTGAGACCCAGACCCTGGATAAAGCAGCCAATGTGGCCACAGTGCAGCAGAAGCTTGTCCTGAATGCCAGCTCCTACCTTCAGAACTCAAGAGCAAAAAAGTTACCAGTGTTCATCTCTTCCCCCGACAACCCCTCCTCCTCCCCCACGAAACAGGAGGAATTAAAAAAAATCAGCAGGTCCATAGAACTGTCCTCAGAGCGAAGTCTCGTGCAGGATGCCAGTCGTGCAGCAAACCTCACCGGCCCCCTCCGGCCCAGCCTCGTCGGGGATCTCGGGATCGTTCTTGTTGTCTCTCCTGATGTTGACTCCCCCCATCCCGTTGCACTCTTTGATGGGTGCCAGAGTCTCCTGGCCATTGGCCTCACTGACCTGCCAACCGGAAACACAATCACACGTCAAGGTCAGCAACAGCCACAGGAAATGTGCTGCTTTTACTGTTAAAGGTTCGGCTCAATGATCGAGGCAGAATCCACATGTATACAGCGCCCTTCACACGGGGTAGCGTCTCGGACCCTGTGTGACACCGAGCCTGAGGTGTGACTGCAGGCATGGTCAAAAAGGAAGACAGCAAGGGAGGTGTGAGGCGGAGAGATTGAGAGACCAAACAGAGAGACAGAGTGACAGAGAGAGATAGAGAGAGAACCCAGCTACTAACCGCCTGCTGATAGCGCACGCCACAGCTTAGCTTCTGTTTGCAGCTCTGGGGCAGGAAGAAGAGCAGGTAGTGGAGTACGGGCACAATGGTCGATGGATTGACATCCTTCCCTTTGGTCGGGCCTGCATTGTGCACAAAGAACAGGATTAAGTTCAAACAGAGAGAAAGAACTTGCATTTGTTACAGTGCCTCAGCGATAATTCCAGCAAGTGTAGTGACTATTTATTGTGGGCAGAAGCGGAAGTCATTTTGCACACAGGGAGGTGACACACAGCAGAAATACACACACATTCACACACTGCGTACATTTACACATGATGCTTAATACACACACGTTTACACATGGCGTCCTGTGCGCACATGGTTATGGTGTTATGGTTATGAGTCCTCCGCTCCACTCTCGGCGGCTGTGCCTTCAGCCACTACGCCCCGAGGCTCTGGAACTGCCTTCCTCACTCCCTTCGTCTCGCTCCCTCTCTGCCTATTTTCAGGTCTCTGCTGAAGACCTTTCTTTCCGACCGCGCCTTTGGTCCTTCCTTCCCCCCACCCCTCCCCCTGGCTCGGCCCCGGGATCCGTTATACAACAACATCCGTTTTATTATCCGTTTAATAAAACAACAACAACAAAATTACATTCGTATAACGCCTTTCACGTCGGAGGAGGACGTCGGAAGGCGCTGGACAGACAGTTAAAGGTTAAAGATTAGTGAAGCTAATGGGTAGAAAACAGAGAGTAGGGATAAACGGGTCATTCTTGAATTGGTAGGATGTGACTAGTGGAGTGCCACAAGGATCAGTGCTGGGCCTCAGCTATTTACAATTTACATCAATGATCTAGACGTGGACATTGAATGTAACGCATCTACTGATTCCCCCCTATCTGACCTGCTAGATACATCTTCAGAAAAACTCTAAAAGATTAGTTAAGCATGACTTCCCTCAGTCCTTGAACATCTTCAAGGCTGAGACTGATAGATTTAAAAAAAATAGAGATTAGGGGATATGGGCATAGGGCAGGTAATTAGAGTTAGGTCTGAAGTTCAGCGATGATCTTATTGAATGGCGGGGCACAGGCTCGAAGGGCCGAATGGCCTACTCCTGCTCCTAATTCTTATGTTCTTATGTTCTTAAGGACCCAAGCTGAGGGTCGGGGCGGGGGTGATCGAAAGCACAATTGAAGAGGAGGGTCTTGAGTTGGATCTTGAAGGCGGTAAGAGAGGGAGTGAGGCGGAGGGACTGCGGGATGGAGTTACAGAGGGTGGGTGCAGAGTAGCGGAAGGCCCGCCCGCTGATGGTGGGGCGAGCAAGGCGGGGGAACGTGAAGCAGGCTGGAACCCACCAAGCGGAGGGAGCGAATAGGGTGGTAGGGGGTTAGGAGCTGGGCAATGTTGCGGAGGTGGAAAGGCAGAGTGGGTCGTGGTGCAGATGTGGGGTAGAAAGGATAGTTGTGGCTCAAACAAGACCCCAAGGTTCCGGACTGGCTTAGCAAGGTAGAGTGAGCAACCGTGGATGGTGATGCTGTTAGCGCCTGAGGTGAGGAGGTGCTGACGGGAGCCAATCAGGAGAGCCTCGGTGTTGTTGACATTCATCTGTAGCATGTTCGCTCTCATCCAGGACTTGATGTCTGACAGACATTCTGTCAGGGACAGCAGTGGGTCCTGGAGTCAAGGGGGGAGGCAGAGAGATACAGTTTTGCGTCACCCGCATACATGTGGAAGTTGACCTCATGACTGCAGATGATATCACTAAGAGGGAGCATATTGGATATTAAAGAGGAGGGGACCAAGGACAGAGCCCTGAGGAAAGACGCACGAGATGGTCTCCAGGGCCTAGCGGAGAAAACGTTTGTATGCGGATGACACCCAACTCTACCTTTCCTCCTCTACTCTCAACTCCACGACCACCGATGTCCTGACAGCTGCCTGTCCGACATCGAGTCCTGGACGAGAGACAACTTTCTTCAGCTCAACGTGCGAAAAACCGAGGCCCTCCTGATTGGCTCACGTCAGCGCCTCCGCACCTCAGGCGCTGACACCATCAGCATCCAAGGCTGCACTCTCCACCTCTCAAAGCCTTCAGGAACCTCGGCGTTTTGTTCGACCCTGAGCTGTCCTTTCTCCCTCACATCCGCACTACAACTGGCACCGCCTTCCATCACCTTCGGAACATCGCCAGACTACGGCACTACCTCACCCCTCACGCGGCTGAAACTCTGGTCCACGCCTTTGTCACCTCAAGGCTGGACTATGGGAACTCTCTCCTCGTCGGCCTTCCCGGCCCTCCCTCCACACTGCAGGTCATTCAGAACTCTGCAGCTCGTGTACTGTCCCGCACCAGGTTTCGGGACCACATCACTCCCACCCTCGCTCGCCTCCACTGGCTCCCCATCCCCCAGAGGATTGATTTCAAGATCCTCATCCTCACCTACAAGGCCATTCACGGCCTTGCTCCCTCCTACCTCTCCAACCTACTATCCCCCTACCTACCTGCCCGTACCCTCCGTTCCTCTGGCTCTGGTCTGCTCCACGTCCCCCACCCCAACCGCCCTACCATCGGTGGTCGGGCCTTCAGCCTCTCAGCCCCCAGGCTCTGGAACTCCATCCCCCAGTGCCTTCGCCTTGCTTCCTCCCTTTCCTCCTTCAAGGCCGGTCTCAAAACCTTTCTCTTTGACCGTGCCTTCAGCTCCCCTCTCGACTCTCTTCCCCCTCCTCGCTCCCTCCCTTCCCTCCCCTCACCCTGACCATTTCCCCCCTCCTTGCTCCCTTCCTTCACTCCCCTCACCCTGACCATTTCCCCCCTGCTCGGGTCATGACCCAACTGTGCAGCGCTTTGGGACGTCCTCCTGACGTGAAAGGCGCTTTATAAATGGAATCTTGTTGTTGTTGTTGTTGTTTGAGGAGATGAAGTGCAGGCAGTGTGAGAGGTACGATCTGAACCAATCAAGGACAGCGCCGTGGAAGTTGAGGTGAGAGGAGAGGCGAGAGGTCAAGGAGGATGAGGAGGCAGAGGGACGCAGATGGACAGAATGTCATTTGCCACTTTGACCAGGGCTGTTTCTGTGCTGTGGCGGCACGAAACCCGATTGGAGAGCTTTGAGAAGAGAGTGGTGGGAGAGGGAGGAGTGAAGCTGAGAAGCAACAACGCATTCCAGGACCTTGGAGAGGAAAGAAAGGTTGGAGATGGGATGGCAGTTAGGGAATAAAGAAGGGTCGAGGGAGGATTTTTAAGGATAGGAGTGATGACAGTCTTTTTTAATGGAGTGGGAACAGCACCAGAGGACAGGGAGAGGTTAACGATGTCAGTGAGTAGAGGGGCAAGAAGGTGGATCTGGGAGGTAAGGAGGGGGTAGGGATCGGGTCGAGGGAGCAGGTGGTGGGTTTCATTCAGGTTATGGTTGTGATGAGAGAGGAGGGGGAGATGGGTTCAAAGGTGTGGAGGGAGAGATGGATAGGGGCCGGGGTGAGAAGGGGAGATGGGGAGGGTGTAGCAGATGCAGTGGAAGAGGCAGCTGAGCGGATTCCCTCGACTTTGGACTTGAGGAAGTCCAGCATCGCCTCGCAGTTGGCATTTGAGGTGAGGATAGGTGCGGTGTGAGAGGGTGGGCGGAGGAGCTGGTTTGTGATGGAGAAGAGGAGCCTGGGGTTGTCCTTAGCCTCCAAGATTGTCTTGAAGAAGAACGATGATTTAGCGGAGGCAAGGGCGGAGCGGTAGGATTTGACATGGTCCAGAGAGATTTAAGCCAAGTGCACTCAGCATAACACGCCTGGGCTTTAAGGGAGCGGAGGTGGATGGTGTACCAGGGTGATTTGTGTGAGTAGAGAACAATTCGGGAAGAGAGGGGAGCATACACACAGATTTACACACGGTGTACGACACACGACCAGGAGCACATTGAGCAGGACGGAGGGACTGGCTCGCAGGTTACTGTCAGCGAGCCAGGGGTCAGCCAGAGGGTGAGCTGTACCTGTTAACAAGCTGACGATGAGCCCGACCACCACCACGATGGCAGCGTTGTAGCCGCTATACCACATGTACGAGAGAGAGTAGAACTTCCTCAACCCCGAGGCACTGGAAAACAGAAGGAAAGTCAGACAGACCTCACAGAGTAGAATTTGAGAAAATCACAAAGACAGGAAGCCATTCAGCCCATGAAAACCTCTCAGTTCCACTCCCCAGCCTTTGCCTTTCACAATCATATATTTTTCTATTTCAAATATTTGTCCAATTCGCCTAACCTCGACCTCTATTTTTGTCTGACATGAAATTAACTCAGCTGTTGCCTCACTGTGCAGGGAAAACTATAAATAAAGACTATAAATCTTGTTAAACAGAATATGATAGAAATGAAATAACATTAAACATTGTGTGTGTTTGCGTGTGTCTGTGTGTGGGGACGGGGGTGTTGGTGGTGTTGGGGCTCCGCTGGGTGACTCCTGAAGCAAACCAACACCAGCAACAAAATGGATTTATGTAGCGCCTTTCACGTCAGTAGGACACCCAAGGTGCTGGACACTTGAGGGTTTGTACCCACGCTGTGGGGCTAGAGTGAGGGGAGGTGGACGGCAGTGGGTGGTGGGAAGATGACCGAAGGCACAGGCGAAGAGGAAGTTCACCACCAGTGTAGACTGGGCTGGTTTTGTGCTGGAGCACCGAATGATTTTTCACAAGTCTCTGATCTGATTACTTATTGTTCTGGCTCTAATTTTAAGATGGCGCCCCCTTCTTTTAGATCCCGTTACCAGAGGAAAGAGTTGTCCCCTGTCCAGTGTGCAGCTACTGAAGTTAGCCTTGCACAGACTCAATCTCTATTTCACTCTCTCCTCCGCACCCCACCCACAATGACTGAAGCCCTGCCAGGAATTGGTGTAATACCCACCCAGTGCTGTTGGCCACGGTAGTCAGGACGGCGGTGGATATGGTGGAGACCACAGTGCCATTGTCGATCGCAAAGCTGGTGGCATTTATGAAGGAATCTGCGGGGACTCTCTGGGACACGAAGCTGCCGATGCCAATCCAGAAAGCCATTGCCAGGCCCGACATCAGCCCCACGATGGCTCCCTATTCAAAAATATCAGAGCAAGGGTGAGAGGTGAGCCGCAGGATAAAATGAAGGATTCAGACATGTCCGTAATAATAATAATGCTTGTATTTGATATAGCACCTTATCAAATTCTTGAGATGTCTCAAAGTGCTTCACGGAATAGATTGTAATGTGGATTGCATTTTGTGGGTGAAATGCAGCAGCCAATTGTGCACAGCAGTGTCGTGGATTGAGTGACCAATTTTTGTCGGGAGGGGACTAGAGGGATTATTATTCCCGGAAAGCGATCTGCCAATTGACTAAGTACTGGGTTCCCTCTTACTGTTAGGTAAACATAGGTGTGTGAAGCGAGGAAACTTGCTAAGGTTTCGCCCTGCTCGGGAATCAAACATTGCCAGTTTGCGCTAACTACTATGCTACGAGACTCCAGTAACGCTTGTGTTTTATGCAGGAGCTGATCGCAGTCAAACAGCTCAAAAACACTCAGAATAGCGAGTTACTTTAAAGTGTGGCGACTTGTTACTCTGCATCATCAATGTCTCTTGTGCAACAAAGAGAAAAACTAATTTTTTTTGGAGAGTTTGGAGGGAGGGAGGAATACTGGAACAACTTGCTTTATTTCCAGTGGGGTCAATGACATTCCCACCTGAAACCTTAAACCAAACAGGAGCTGGGTTTAAGGTCAGTGATGCACTGGAGCGTCAGCCTAGACTGTGAGCTCAAGTCCCCAAAGTGGGCCTGAATCCAAAATTATCTGACCCAGGGACAGGAAGATTGAGGTACTCTGGCACTTTACAACAACAACTTGCACTTATATAGCGCCCTCCAAGTGGGGTAGCATCTCAGTGCTCATCTCTCTTGAACAAATCCTTGTTGCTCTCAAGACTTCAAGCAGACTGCAAAGACCTCAATCTTTTCTGTACCAATACAAATAGACCCAGTCAAACTCCACCCCACACTGAACCCCGTATTCATCCAAGTAAATCTGCTCTGTGCCCTCACTGTTGCTCTAGTTTACTTTCTCAATCCGATTTAGTGCCCTATACACACACCTCTTAAGGTCTTCTTTCAGATGTCTCTTCAAACCCTGGTTGATATTAATAATAATCCTTGCCTTTGGTATTACGCCTTATCAGGTCATTGAGAAGTCTCAAAGCGCTTCACAGAATATACTGTAAAGTGCAGTGACTGCGTTTTGTGTGGGCAAAATGCAGTAGGCAATTGCGCACAGCAGTGTCCCACAAAGAGTCGTGGATTGGGTGACCACATTATTATTATAATATTTTTGGGGTTGGATAGATTATTATCCCTGGAAAATGATCCTCCAATCGACTATCAACTGGGTTTTTACTGACTGGTACGTAAACAGACACGTGTGGAGTAAGGAAACTTGCCTAAGGTTTCACCCTGCCCGGGAATTGAACCGTGGTCCTCTTGCTTTTGAGGTGAGTGCTCTAAGCACTACGCTAATTATTGATCTCCTTCAGTGAAGCAAAAAAATGCTTACTTATAACAAGCAATAATTCCAAATTTGACCTGAGTCCAAATTACCAGCAATTCAGTGGTGAGAGGCTGATCAGGAGAGAGAGGAGCTGTGACGGGGATTGGGTAGCAGTGAGAAAGCAGGTGTGGAGTGTGCTGGCAAGCTGGTGACTGGGGGTTGCTTATCAGCTTCAGAGCTGCAGAGTCACTCACCGCTGGCTAAAGGCTAAGTGAACCTGTCCAACCACAGCTGGAAATATAAAGATGAATCAGAAGATATTTGCGGAAACTTACAGGGTTTTCTGTGGCATGTGGAGAACAAACCAGAACTGTGTCTTTCTCACTCTGCCACAAACCAGAAGCTGTGCCCGCCCACCCAGGGCTGCGCTACGACTCCCCCACCACCCGAGGCCACATCTACACACCAACACCCGAGGCCGACCCTTGTGTATATTCCACTGTGAGCAGTAAATCTCTGCCCAGCGAGCAGGCCTTTGGTGGCCATTGCATCCATCGCTGGCCAGCTAGAGCTGGCATCTCAATGTATTTACGAACAGATTCACTGGGCGTGAAATCGGCACCAAACAGGAGGCGTAGTCAGAGGCAAGAGAGAAAAAAAAACACAACTCACGGTGGGATTGGGCCACGGGAAAAACATTCCAAGACAGAAGATCCCGAGCAGAGGTCCTCCAACTATCCCGAATATGCTGAGCGCTGCCTGGATGGGAAGCAGACAAAGAGGCGTCAAAGCTGCGAAGGGTTACGTGCTGTAACATCACAGAATAACAGGCGGAATCCACGGCATGTCACACCTGCAGCACTGAGCCCATCAACGATGCGATGTAAGCCATTCCGATGCACAGCAGCCCATAACCTAGAGCTGCAACACACAAATACACTCAATTACATCCTGTACACAGACAGCAACAATAATATAATCCTTGCGTTTGATACAGTGCTTTATCACTTTGTTGAGACATCTCAAAGCTCTTCACAGAAACTTGCATTCATAGAGCGCCTCTCACGTGATGTAGCGACTCGGAGCACTGAGCAGTAGCGGACCCCGACATCGAACCAGTGGTGGGGGGAGGGGGAGGAGAGGAGGTAACCGTAAGCACGGTCAAAGAGAAAGGTCTTTAGTCATGATCTAAAAGAGAAGGACCCAGCCAACCACTGCATAACAGTGAACACAGTTCAATAAAGCATGAAAAGGATTTGTTCCATCGTGTTTAAGAATCTTCAAATCAACTATTGATTCCATGTGTGTAAGTCTTTAGTTTGTCTGAAATAGACTTTGCACTCTTTTCCTCTCTCCCTCCTTCCAAACCATCCGAGTGAAGAACGCTGCTCACCAAATCCCAGAGCTCACACACAAGTTGATAAGACTAAACTCTCGGGGACCATCCTCTCATGGCTTGAGTCCTACTTGACCCACCATCATCACTTCACCTCTGCAATCAGTTTCTCCTCCTACTTCTGCACGGTCACTGGTGGCAGACCCCAGCTCCCAGTTTATCCTAGTATCTTTGTGGGTGAGCACCAGCAAAGACAGTGTACCAAATGGCATCGCGATGTGCTGTAAACCTTCTAGGGTTCTATGAAGGATATAATAGTTTGGTTTGAAAACTAGGTGGGTCCCAGGGGTCCTGCCCTCGCTAGGGGCTTACTTACCAAGGCTCTTGGACACCAATGTGGCTTGAGATTCAGTCATGTCTGGAAATTGAGGTCTAATAATATCAGCCATGGTGACCGTGGCCAGGGAATTGAATGCAGACGAAATTGTGCTGAAAAGATAAAGAAAAATTAAACTACAATCAGCCGCACATCAATTCAGACTGAACTTCTCAACAACTTGCGTTTATGTGGCGCCCTTCACAGAGCGCTTAACCCTGATTCTCACATCGTAAAATCAGGATAGTCCGCAAAGCTCCCGAGAATAACTGGGGTACGCACAAGCCACCTGGCTGCAAGGCTTCATAATGACAAGAAACTATAATAATAATTAATCCTTGCATTATCACGTCGCTGAGATGTCTCAAAGTGCTCCACAGAATATACTGTAAAATGAATTGACTGTATACTTTGGGGGTGAAGCATGGCAGTCAATTGCGCACAGCACAAACAGTGGATTGAGTGACCACATTTTTTTGAGGCATTATTATCCAAGGAAAGTGATCCACCAATTGACCAACAGCCAGGTTCCTAATTACTACTAGGTAAACAGAGGCATGTGGAGTAAGGAGACTTGCCTAAGGTTTCACCTCCCTGAGAGTCAAACCCAGATCCTCTCGCTTGTGAAGGGAGCGTGCCAACCATTACACTACAGCACTCCTATTATGAGAAGGAAAATGGGGGACACTATCTCCAATGCTTGGTGAGGGCTAACTAAAGGGCGTAAGATCATCATCAAAGAAACAATGGGAGAGGTTAGGGCAATTTTGTATTTAGACACAGATTTCAGAGACACCAAAACCAGCTAACAACAAGTGTTTTAGCATTTAGTGAATCTCAATGGAACACAAAGACGAAGCTGTATTGGGCACAAGGCAAACTCTCCTCTGCTCCCGTTACACGTCACCCTGTCGTTTGACACTAACCATTGTACGAGCACTTGCTTGTCTGAAGGTTTGGGGGCTCAAGGCCCAAATGCAAGCTTCGAAGGCCATTTGCCCCTGGGCCAATGGTGTGAGCTTCAATTCCCTGAAAGTCATTAACTCACACAAGGGATGAAATTACCTGAGCGCTCCACTGAATAGACAGGCGACGAAGAGACCGGGTAACCCGGGGAAGTCCTGGAGAACGTCCATGACAAAATACAGCACCATCTGCAATTCAAACAAGATTCAGCACCGGGTGCAACAACAGGCTACAGCACTAAACCGGCTCAGCTGCTCGTGCTCTTGTCCCTGGGAGGGATTATTATCCCCGGTAAGTGATTCACCAGTCGATTAACAACCCGAGTTCCTACTTACTGTTAGGTAAACAGGCGTGTGGAGTAAGGAAATTTGCCTTAGGTTTTTCCCCGCCGGGAATCAAACCTAGGTCCTCTCGATTGCGGGGAGAGCGCACTACCCACTAAGCTACAGGACTCCACAATAAAAGGACCGTGTACCTGATCATGTGTTTTGACGTAACCTTTCTGGAGCGGGTCTTTGTCCCCGTAGCGAGCGTACATGACCAGGCCCATCAGGCACCCGAGGGTCAGCACAATCTGCTGGCACGGGAACACCACATAGCAGGACCTGGGAGCAAACAGCACGAGAATGGAGAAATGTCAAATCGCAAGTCAACACCACATCAAAGACAGGAACAGATCAGCGTCTCCCAAAGTCAAAACAATCTCATGCCATCTCTTACACCCATCATTCCAACTCCTGGCCAAATACTTATCCAATTGGAATATGCTGACACATGTCTTGGGAGATTGAAGTTCCCCTCAAGGCTCTCGAAATTCCTCTCAACAACAACCTTTATATAGCGCCCTCCACGGCGGATGGCTTCTCAGAGCTCTCAAGTTAAAGAACAAGCACGCAAAGATCACATACATTCTCGACATTAAAGAAGGAAATTAGATTAAAATGTGCCATGTTCTAATAAACTATTAGAAGATTCTCAGCTGAATGGCGCCCCCCCAGCACTGTATTGGGAATGTTGTAATAATAATAATAATCCTTGAATTTTGATATAGTGCCTCATTACATCTTCAAGACGTCTCAAAGAGCTTCACAGGATATATTGTAACGTGGATTGACTGTGTATTTTGTGGGCAAAACTTGGCAGCCAGTCACACACAGCAGTGTCCCACAAACAGCCATTGAGCGAGTCACCAATTTTATTTGGGGGATTGTTGGCCAGGACAACGGGAGAATCTCCCTTCTCTTTTTGAATTATACCATGGGATCTTTTAACAGCCGCCTGAACAGGCAGATGGGGCCTCAGTTTAATATCTCATCCGAAGGACGGCATCTCCAACAATGCAACAACATTCCAGCGCTGCACTGGAGCTTCAACAACAAAATTACATTTATAGAGCGCCTTTCAGCTCAGACTGTGTGATTCCAAATCCCAATATGGGACTTGAACCCACAACCTTCTGACTCAGAGGAGAGGCGCTACCAACTGAGCCAGGCTGACACGTAAATAATACTAATAATACTTGCATTTGATGCAGTGCCTTATCACGTCTTCAAGGCATCTCAAAGCGCTCCACAGAATACATTGTAAAGTGAATTGACTATATCTTTTGTAGGTGAGTCGATAGATACAATGTGCCTGTGTTACTATCTTCCCATGTCCCCATGTTTCTGTTACTGATTGAGTAAGTACGGTACAGACATCAAGCTCAGAGTACCATGTGCTGTGGCCGTTCAGGACTCACAGTATAGCCTCCCGCTCAGACCGGGAGCTGAGATAGCGTTGGACCTGGGCCTGGTTCACACCATACAGAGACAGCATCAAAAAGACTCCGCCGATGGACAGCGTCCAGAATGTGTGGCGCTCGAAGGGGTCGGGATTCAGGCTGTGGAGGAAAAACAAACATAAATAATAACAATAATACTTTGCATTTGATATAATTTAACAATTTAACATGTCATCAAAACATCTCAAAGTTTCACAGGATTTAACACGATGTATTTTGCAGGTGAACGCAGCCGATTTGCACATCTTTGTCACCACTTTGAAACCCCTGCATGGTGGAGCTCCTCCCTACCTCTGCCACCCCTTAACACCTGTCAGCTGCCTGTTTGGTGGGCCATATCTCCCGCCCTGCGCACTCTACCGTTGGCAGAATGACTTTCACCTTTTCTGCCCCTACCCTCTGGAACTCCATGCCTGAATCCCTTCGTCTCACCCACTCCCTTGCTTCCATCAAGGCCTGTCTCAAGCCCTTCCTCTTTGACCGTGCCTTCAGACACACTGCTCCGATCCTGACCCACAATTAAAAAAAGAGAGACGAGTTTCTCCTGCTGCCTCGGACCACAAACAATTGGTTTTTGGTTAGCTAGGTTTCTGACATAAATGGAAACCCATCACTGTGCTTAAGAGTCTGCAAACCAAACTCTATATCTGTATCGCTTACTCGATCCCAGAGATCTTGCCGTCCTTCATGGCGATCTGCCAGACCTTCCCCATCCCGCCCGCCTGTTTGGCTCCAATGATGATGACAGCCAGCTGTCCCGAGAACATCACCAGGGTCTGAAAGACGTCAGTCCAGATAACAGCCTTCAGCCCACCCTGAGAGAGGGGAGAGAGGGATAGAGAGGGGGAAGAGAATAAGGTAGAGTGGAAGTAAGGGGGGAAGGGGGGGGGTGGAGTGAAAGAGAGAGAGGAGGAGGGAGAAGAATGGCGGTAAAGAGCGAGAGGGAAATTGAGGGTGAGAAGAGAAAGAGAAAGCAATGGGATAAGACAGATGGAGACAGGGGAAAGGAAGAGGGGAAGAACATAAAAGGAATTAAAAGGTCGGTGCTAACAGCATAACCAGCAAACATGTAGCAACTCCGTGCAGGGAAACCGCAAGGCACAGTGAAGCACCGCAGGGCCCCGCCTGAAAATAGCCTTCAGCAGTGACGAAGAGCCACAGACACACCCACTCAGAGAATGGCCTCTCTTTCCTCAGAAGCCATCCCATTGCGCTCAGGCCAGGAACACAGACAAGAAGGGGGATGTTCGGTTCATCTGCCATTTTATTAGGTCAGATCTTTCAATCTCATTTCCCAGTCTTTTCCCCCTTTTTCCTCGAGTATCTGCCCATCTCGCCTTTTAAACATTCCAAATCAATCCTCACTTAGAAACATGGAAATCTATAGCACAGAAGGAGGCCATTCGGCCCATTGAGTCTGCACCAGCTCACAGAGCAAATCCACCGCCTATCTTATCCCCTTAAGATCTTCCTCTTCGATCGTGCCTAAGGTCACCTTCCCACTCCTGGTGTTAGGCTCTGCCGCTGTTAAGCGCGCCAAGATGCTACCCGGCATGAAGGGCGCTATATAAATGCAAGTTGTTGTTACCGCATACCTGTTTCAAGCCTCTCTCTTTCATATGCCTGTCTACTTCCCTCTTGAAAACTGCAATGGATTCTGCTTCCACCACCCTTCTCAGCAGAGTGTTCCATATCCCAACCACCCACTGGGTGAAAAAATTCCCAAATTTTTCTTTGATTATTTTTGTGGGGCAATCTGATTTCTGAGTCAATCCTCTGGGTGAAGAAATGTTCCTGATCTCACTTGTAGCTCTGACTATTAGACTATTTCCCGCTGTGCGAGAGGGAACAATCTTTCCCTGTCTAACCCCTTTCATTATTCAATAATAATAATCCTTGTCTTCGATATAGTGCTTTATCACATCATTGAGACATTTCAAAGCGCTTCACCGAGTACACTGTAAACAACAACAACAAGATTGCATTTATAGAGCGCCTTTCACGTCGGGAGGACGTCCCAAGGCGCTGGACAGTTGGGTCGGGACCCGAGCAGGGGGGAAATGGTCAGAGTGAGGGGAGGGAAGGGAGGGAGCGAGGAGGGGGTAGAGAGTCAAGAGGGGAGCTGAAGGCACGGTCAAAGAGAAAGGTCTTGAGACCGGCCTTGAAGGAGGAAAGGGAGGAAGCGGCGAAGGCACTGGGGGATGGAGTTCCAGAGCCTCGGGGCTGAGAGGCTGAAAGCCCGTCCACCGATGGTAGGGGGGTTGGGGCGGGGGATGTGGAGCAGACCGGAGCCAGAGGAACGGACGGGCAGGTAAGTAGGGGGATAGTAGGTCGGAGAGGTAGGAGGGAGCGAGGCCGTGAATGTAGGTGAGGATGAGGATCTTGAATTCTATCCTCTGGGGGATGGGGAGCCAGTGGAGGCGAGCGAGGGCGAGGGTGAGGGTGGGAGTGAGGGCGAGGGTGGGAGTGATGTGGGCGCGAATCCTGGTGCGGGACAGTACACGAGCTGCAGAGTTCTGAATGACCTGCAGTGTGGAGGGAGTTGGCGGGAAGGCCGGCGAGGAGAGAGTTCCCATAGTCCAGCCTTGAGCTGATAAAGGTGTGGACCAGAGTTTCAGCCGCGTGAGGGGTGAGGTAGTGCCGTAGTCTGGCGATGTTCCGGAGGTGGAAGGCGGTGCCAGTTGTGGTGCGGATGTGAGGGAGAAAGGACAGCTCAGGGTCGAACAAAACGCCGAGGTTCCTGACGGCTTTGAGAGGTGGAGAGTGCGGCCTTGGATGCATATAGAGGGTGAAGGGGAGGGGACCGAGGACAGAGTCCTGAGGGATACCGCACGAGACAGTGCGGGGGCTGGAGGAAAAGCCGTTTGTGGAAACAAAGTGAAGACGGTGGGAGAGGTACGACCTAAATCACTCAAGGACAGGGTCTTGAAGATTGAGGTGGGAGGACAAGCGGTGGAGGAGGATAGCGTGGTCGACCGTATCGAATGCTGCCGATAGGTCGAGGAGGCAGAGGGAGCCCTGGTCGCAGATGGTCAAGATGTCATTAGTGACCTTGACCAGGGTGGTTTCTGTGCTATGGGCAGCACGGAAACCCGACTGGAGGGGTTCAAAAAGTGAATGGGTGGAGAGGAAAAAGCGCAGCTGGGAGGCCACGACTCTTTCGAGAACCTTCGACAGGAAGGGGAGGTTGGAGATGGGCCGGTAGCTTGATAGCTGCGACGCATCAAGGGAGGGTTTTTTCAGTGTGGGAGTAATGGTGGCAGTTTTGAGAGGAATGCGAACAAAGCCAGAGGGACAGGTGGCGGGGGGGACGGAGGAGTCGGGATGCGGTGGAGAACAGAGGCCTGGGGTTGTTCTTCGCCTCCACGATTATCCTGGAGTAGAAGGACGACTTGGCCGAGGCTAGAGTGGAGCGGTAGGTTTTGAGGAGGTCCAGCCAGATTTGCCGGTGGACCGTTAGGCCAGATTTGAGCCAGGTGCGTTCAGCGGCCCGCACCTGACTCTTCAGTGAGCGGAGGTGCGTGGTGACCAGGGGGAGGAGCGAGAGTAAGAGACAGTACGGAAGGTGATGGGGGCAAGAGTGTCGAGTGTGGAGGAGAGGATTGACTGTATTTTGTGGGTAAAACGCAGCAGCCAATTGCGCACAGCAGTGTCCCACAAATTTGAGTGACCAAATTTAATTTGTGCAAGTGTGCGAGACTCAGATATTGCCATAGTCAATGTGAGGGTAAATCTTCCGAACAGAATTGTCATGAAGAGACAGTTGGTTAAACCCTCAAACCCTAAGGCAGAAAGCAGAGAATCAACATTCAGTCCTATTTTCCACTATTAACTCCCTTTATTTGAGTAGATAAATATAGTCATCACAAAGCCAATCAGAAAAACAGGGAGTGGTTGAAAGAAAATGCATACCACACATCAACAGCACAGCTCACGTACAGACATGCCACACGCACACAGAACATCATCAACAACTTGCATTTATATAGCGTCCTTCGCGCGAGGTAGCGTCCTGGAACACATACACACAATATTAAGCGCACACACACAAGCACAGATGTGGTATACCAAATGGCCCATTTCTGTGTTGTAACATTTCGTCAACATACGAGTTACATGGGCTCGGATCTCAACCAATGTGAATTACACAGATTTCTTGTCTCATCACTGAGCTTCCCGCCCCCAGATCCAAATCACGATCTGGTTCGTTCGATACTTACCAATGCCGTGTAGACTGTACACACGAGTCCCACCGCTAGAACTGAACCCCACAAGTCAAAACCGGTTACTGCAAGAAACCAAGGAAGTCAAGTTGAAAAACGGTCACATGGTAACAACCAAGGCTGGAATTCTGGGTGACATTTTGTGTAGAGGGATTATTATTCTTGGAAAGCGATTTGCCAATCAACTAACTATTTTAGTTCCTACTTTCTGCGAGATAAATAGAGGCGTGTGGAGTAAGGAAACTTGCCTAATTTTTTGCCCTGGCTGGGAATCGAACCCAGGTCCTCTCACTTGCGAAGCGAGTGCTCTAACCAATACACTACAGGACTCCAATCTGTGATTTGAGCAGAGAGCCCAGCAGCGTGAGGAGGGAACTGAGTGAGGTGGAACAGAGTGAGAATTCTGCTAAGGAACTTGGTAAGAATGAGAATTCTTCAGAAAGAGAGATGGCAAGAGAGCAAGAGAGAATTCTTTCATTCAGCAGATGAGTGGCAAATCTTTGAGGTAGTGTCAACCTTATATGTAAGCAGGCAAAGAAGTCAGTTAGCAGTTAATCATAGGCTAGGTGTTGGGGATTAATATAACAAAATGAAAAATACTGCAGACACTGGAAATCTAAAACAAAAACAGAAGTCATTGGGATCACTCAGCAGGTCAGGCAGCATCTATGGAGAAAGGAAAGTGAGTCAACGTTTTGGGTCCACGACCCTTTGTCAGAACTGGGGCATGTTGGGAGGGAGAGGTTTTTAAGGACTATCAGAGAGGGGATAGCCAAGGCAAGGAAGACAAAGGAGAAAATGGGGTAGAACAAAGAGAAACTATTCCCACTGGCGGGTGGGTCGGTAACCCGAGGAGACTGATCTAAAATAGTTGTTAAAAGAAACAGAGGGGAGGTGAGGAGAAATTTTTTCACACAGCGAGTTTTTCGGACCTGGAATCCATTGCCTGAAAGGCTGGGGGAAGCCGATTTGATAACAACTTTTAAGAGAGAAGCAGATAATTATTTGGGGAGGACAAGTTTGCAGGGGCTATGGGGAGAGAGCGGGGGAGTGGGATTGATTTGGTAGCTCTTTTAAAAGAGCCGTCACAGACACGATGGGCTGAATGGCCTCCTTCTGTGCTGTATAATTCTATGAGTCTATGAATGGGCCAGATGGGCTTGCAGCGCTAGACTGAATAGGAATTTCAGTCCTCAGATGTTCAGATATGATAAACAACAAGAACAAGATTACATTTGTATAGTGTCTTTCACGTCGGGAGGCTGTTCCAAGGCGCTGGACAGTGTACAGCAATTCAGACCTGAGCTGGGGTCAGGGGAGAGAAGGGAGGGGAAGGGGGTGACCAATGGCATAGTCGAAGAGGAGGGTTTTGAGGCGGGATTTGAAGGAGGCTAAGGAGGGGGCGAGGCGGAGTGATTGGGGCGGGTGGATCGGGGGACGTGGAACAGGCCATAGCCAGCTGAGCGGAGGGAGCATGCGGGTTGGTAAGGGGTTAGGAGGTCACAGGGTGGGGCGAGACCATTGAGGGCTTTGTAGGTGAGGACCAAGATTTTGAACTGGATCCTCTGAAGGATAGGGAGCCAATGGAGTCAGGCGAGAATGGGGGAGATGGGGTCACAGAGTTTGGTGTGGACATTGGCTGCAGAGTGCTGGATTATCTATGGGGGGAGGAGTTGGGAAGGCCGACAAGCAGGGGGTTTGCATAGTCGAGCCTGAAGGTGATGAAGGTATGAACAAGTGTTTCAGTGGCCTGAGCGGTGAGGTAGTGGCAGAGTCGGACTGTATGATTGTATGATTTGTATGATTGGCCAACAATGGAGAAAGACAATTGCTGTCTCATAATTGTGCGACTCAGAAAGCCTTGCCTTTGTGCTGACAGATCACAATGTACTCAGCTGTAGTGTTTGCACTACGCCCATTGCTAATACCCAAAGCTGTCACCTCTGCCTACCAACAGACCCTACCCTTGACAGCAGTTCCCTGTGAAGCACTCAAGAGACATTTTGATGTTAAAGCTCGTGAATCAAATGCAAAGACAGTCATTACACTATGCAGGTGGGCCAACCTCTTGACTGCTGAGGGCTGGATGTTCTATTTGAGAAACATAACTATTTTTGTAAACATAACATCTATGGATTCTGGAGGGTGGGTGGGGGGGCAGATGAATTAGAGTGTGGGGTGTGGGACAGGCTGTATGAATTCGGCCCACGGGCTGCCGGTTGATCACCCTGCTCTATAGTGTTAACCAGGGATGGATCAACCCAGTTGCCATTTGTTGAACTCGCTTAGCCTTTCACGTCGGGACGTCCTCCCGACGTGAAAGGCGCTCTATAAATGGAATCTTGTTGTTGTTGTTGTCAGCAACTGGTGAGGGGTTATGCAAAGGGCAAAACCACTGACACTAGATACTCGAGTAAGCATTCACATCCTCAGCTTCAGATATCTAGATGTCTGCATGCCTAGCTCTCTCTCTCTCTCTCTCGCTCTCACCGGCTGTGTATAAATATGTTTCAAATGCATCTGTCTCACAGTACCTGCGTTCAGTGCCAAAGCAGGAGTATACAGCACCACGCCCATATATATAACCTGGAACAAAACACAAATAAAACAGCATCAAGAATAGGTCTAATATCTGAATTCTAGAGTATTTGTTATGTAGGATTAAGCAGGGTTTCCTTGTAGCTGTGGTGGTCTCTAGTTCAGTTTCTGAGCCAGGCGAGTCCACAGTATTCCAGGGCAATGCAGCCTGGCTTATTGGCAGGACCTAGGAAGCCAGACCACTCACTAGGGGCAGGGAATCCTCCCACTCAGCAGCTGTTAACCCTGAAAGCCAAAGCCCTAACAGGTAGGGTGGTCCGAGCTGGACAAGCAGTGGGAAAATGATGGCAAGTGATATCAATGGCAAGTTATGTGGTTTTAGCTGGTTAGATTCCAGTCATACCCCAACGCACACTCGGGGTCCCCAAACCATGGCTCTTGCCAACCTGCGCCTAATACTCTGGAATTAGGTAAGCAGGATGCTTCCCTCCAGGGTGAGTGCACATTCCATTCCAACAATCTATCTCTGGGATTTCCATGTGTAGGTGGGATGCGTGGAATTCTCAGTTGGGTTTGGATACTCTTAGGCATGGTGATGGGTTTCCCCATTTGTCGGAATGGGCTGGCTGATCAACTCCCCGTCCCGCCACCCCCAAAAAATTTGGTATAGCGCCTTTCACGTCAAGAGGACGTCCCAAAGTGCTTCACAGGATATACTGTAAAGTGGATTGACTTTTGTGGATGTATGGATAGCACATGAAGAAAGATCTTACATTTTCACAGCATTTTATTACGACAAACAGTCTCAAAACACCTCACGGGGAGTTTCTGTCAAGAGTAGTTTTTTGTAGGTAAAAACATTTTTTTTGTGCAAAGCATTATCACATCAACAACCATGAGGCGAAATGAACGATTAAGATTGATGGTCAGGACACCGGGAAAAACGCCCTTCTAGTTTCTAATAGTAGGATCTTTAACATATAACATAATAATAATCCTTGCACTTGATAAATAAATTATCTGAATTCTGCAATGACGGCCCAAAGTCCTAAATCTGTAGATGACAATAACAGGGAGTGTAGCTAACAGGGAAGAATACTGTAAGGAAATTCAGAAGGACATAGCAGACTAGTAGATTGGGCAGAGCGATGCAGCTAAATAATGCAGAAAACTGTGAGGTACTATATTTTAGAAGGAAGAATACAGAACAAAATTACATTTGTATAGCACCTATCATGTCGGGAGGACGTGAAATATAATAAGGAGAGGAAACAGTTGAATACTAAGTGGTCAAATATTAAACATATAAGAACATAAGAACATAAGAAATGCTGGACGAAGAAAGACCAAGGTCCATTTAGTTCGCCTTCCACCTTCCTGGCGGTCGCATGTACATATGTCTCAAGCTACCTTTATGCTATATCCCATAATGTTATTTCCTAAAAAAAAACTATCTTATCTGTTTGAAAGAATCAACACTTCCTGCTTCAACAGTCTCCCTAGGAAGCCTGTTCCACAGGTTCACTATTTGCTACTGAAGTAGGGTTTGGTACATGGGTTCTGATTTACCCCCCTTCAATCACAGGCTGTGTCCTCTGGTTCTACTATATCTGACAAGTTGAAACAGCCTGTCATGATCTATATTGTCTAGCCCCTTTAGAATTTTAAAGACAGCTATCATGTTGTCTCTCAATCTTCTCTTTTCCAGGGTGAACATTTTTCTCAGTCGCTCCTTATCATTCAGTCCTTCCAGTCCCTCAGTCATTTTGGTTGCTGTCTTCTGTATCTTCTCGATTTCCCAATATCCATTTTGTACTGCGGCGTTCAGAACTGCACACAATACTCTAAGTATGGTCTCACCAAAGATTTATACAATGGCAGGATTACCTCACTATTTCGGCTGCTATTGATCTTTTAATACCAACACCTGGTTTGCTTTACTCACTGCCACAGAGCATTATTGGGACACATTCAGTTTATTGTCAATCAGGACCCCCAAGTCCTTTTCATTTTCCATACATATTATTTTCCTTCCATCCAAATAATAGTCACTTCCAGGCTTGTGTGTCCACGTGGGAAGTACTTTACATTTCTCCACACTGAATTTCATCTGCCACCGATCTGCTCAATTCCCAAGTATATTCAAATCCTCCTATAACCTGTCTTGTTCAGATTCGCAATCAACCATCTTCATTAGCTTGGTGCCATCTGTAAACTTAGCCACTTGTGCTCGCAATTCCTAGTTCCAGATCATTTATAAAAATATTGAACAAAAGAGGTCCCAATACAGACCCTTGTGGAACATTTTCCGTCACCACCATCTGGATTCTTCTGGTCAACCAATTGTGTATCCAATGTAATATACCTCCACTGATTCCCACTTTTTTTTAAACTTTCAGTACCAGCCTCTCAAGAGAAACTGTATCAATGGCCTTACTTACAACAACAACAACAACTTGGATTTATATAGCGCCCTCCACGCCAGACGACATCTCAGAGCGCTTAGATCTAGATATACAACGTCCACAGCCTTACCCTTATCAAGCTCCCTTGTCACAAAGTCAAAAAAACCCAGTAAATTAGATTGTGAAGACCTTCCCTTCATGAACTCATATTGGCTATCATTTATGATTTTATTTCTGTTCAGATGCTCCATGATTTTATCCTTAATAAGAGTCTCCATAATTTACCCACAATGGACGTCAAACTAACTTTTGTTATTTTCTTAAAAATAGGAGTAACATCTGCCTTTCCCCAGTCCCCTGGCTAAAAGGAGAAAAAGAGCAGCGGTCTGGGAGCTAACATACATAAATCTGTTATTTCCACCCTTACTTCCCTCAGTAACCTAGGATGGAAACCATCCGGACCGGGATACTTATCTACTTTGAACAACGACAACCTTTGTAGTATCTCCTCTCGGTTTATTCTTATCCTATTCCAATTTCTCTATTCTCTCCTCCAAAGCTGTGGCATTGGCTGCATCCTCTTCTTTTGTGAAGACAGATGCAAACTATTCATTCAGACCAACAGCCATGCCCTCTGCCTCCACAAGATTTCCTCTTTGGTCCCTAATTGGACCCACCCTACCTTTGACTAACCTTTTATTCTTTATGTGCTTACAAATTACCTTAGGGTTCCTTTTTATACCCGCTAATCGTTTCTCATACAATCTCTTTGCTCCCCTTATTTCCTTTTTCAGTTCTCTCTGTACTTTCTATATTCTATTTGATTATCTTCTGTATTTTGGGCCTAACATTTATCATAAGCCTCCTTTTTCTGTATTATTTTAACCTGAATTTCCTTATTTATTCAGAGATATTTGGATACCCTCCTTTCCCCTTTGTGGGAATGTATTTGTTCTGTCCCCGAACTTTCTCCTCTTTGAAGGCTTCCCATTGGTCGTTAGCTGTTTTATCTGCAAATCTTTCGTTCCAGTCCACATTAGCTAGATCTCTTTTTAACTCACTGAAATAAGCCCTCTTCCAGTTCAGTACCTTTACCTTTGATTGCTCCTTGTCCCTTTCCATAAATACTCTAAACCTAATTGATTAGTTGTCCAGCTGCTCTCCTACTGAAACCTGCTCCACTTGCCCCATTTCATTCTCCAGAACTAGATCCAGCATTGCTTCCTTCCTCATTGGGCTGGAAATATACTGATCCAGAAGGTTATCCTGCACACATTTCAGGAATCCTTCCCCCTCCTTGCCCTTTACACTGTTATTTTGTGAGACTATGTTAAGATAACTGAAGTCTCCCATTATCACTACTCTTATTGGTTTTACATCTGTCTGAAATCTGCTTGCAGATTTACTCATCCATCTCCTTCCCACTATTTGGTGGTCGGCACAGACATGATGGTCCGAATGGCCTCCTTTTGTGCTGTATAATTCTATAATTCTTGAAATGAAAGTTGTTGCTGTTGTGGTCAAAGCCCTGCTTGGTATTCTCCTTTGACTCTGAGAAGGGCTTTGAGACACTGACCCTGTGTGGAAAGTGCACGTTGTTGCTGTTGTGACATGGTTTGGATTCCAGTCGAGCAGCTCGTGCCCGCTTTCAATTGAGTGATCCACCGCAATTGTCCATCAGCGCGCTGCACTCACCATCTGAAAGATAAAGGTCAGCGTCCCACACAGTCGAGTGGCTTTGTTGAAGCGGAGTTCCAGGTACTGTGGAAAAAACACAGGGGAAGAGGGGTGAGTAGTCATGCTGATGTGAGGGAACGAGCCACAACCCAGTCTCACAAACATTTCCGCAGAATTTACAACACAAAAACAGGCCACTCGGCCAAACCAGTCTTCTCTTTTCGAAAGCCAATGGATCTTTAATGTCCACCTGACAGAGAGATCCTGGCCAGGCAGACAGACGGGAGCTCAGTTTAATGTCTTATCTGAAGTGACTTTTTTTGCAGTTAAACACAACCATTTTGGCACAAATACCATGGGGTAAACGGCTGAACAACCTGGAGGATTGTTGGTCAGGACATTAGGAGAAATTTCCTTCTCTTTTTTAAGATCGCAGCTGTTCAACAGACGAATGTGATCTCATTTTAACATCCCACAAGGCGCGTCAGCTCGGACTGTGAGCTCAGGTCTCCAACATGGGGCTTGAAGCCACAACCTTCTGACCCGGAGCCAAGCTGACACTTTAATGCATTCACATTTAACCTCACAGACTAGATAGAGAGGTACTGCATTGTCAGAGGTACTCTGACTCTCATCCTTCAGATGAAACGATAAAGCGAGATGGATGTTAAAAAATCCCGTGACACTATTTCCAAAACGCAGGGAGCTCTTTTGACGTCTCCGGTAATCTGAAATCCAGATATCAGATTAATTCTACATTTACCTACAGAGCAACGGTCACCGAACTTCAAAGTAACTCAAGGTGTGACACAAATTTGAGATGTTTCGAAGTGATAAGGCGTTGGACCAAACACAAGGTCAATCTCAATCCTCAAACTGTCACTGCTCAGTGACTCCACCAAGCACATTTTGTACTCTTTAAGCATGAGAAGAATTTAAGAGGGAATAAGAATTTCAAGAGGAAGAACGTAAACGGATAGAGCAGGGAACTGGGATCAAAATAGCTATCTTCATTGAATAAACTAGTACCAGTTTAGTATTGGTGGGCTTTGCGACTTCCCCTGAGCTGCAATTTCTGGAATTGATATAGCACCTCATCACGTTGTTGAACTTGGTTCAAAGCACTTCATAGAATTTGCTGTTTAGTGTAGGGACTGTGCATTTGAAGATTAAATATGGCAGCCAATTTTTACTCATATTATACCCCACAAACAGCCATGTAATTAATGGCCAATTTTAACTGGGGGATTGTTGGCCAGGATACTGGGAGAAGTTCTCTTTTTATTCAACATCCACCTCAGCAAGTAACATCCAAAATGGGATCTTGGTTTAACATCTTTTCCAAAAGACGTGGCAATGGAAAGCTCCTCCAGCATTGCACGGTAATGTCAGCATGGACTGAAACTTCAAAAACTAGAGAGAGATGAACTCTCTAGATCATCTTTCACAACCAGATCCAGAGGTAAGAGTGCTCCCAGGCTGACACAGTAGAATCTTAGAATCGTACAGCACAAAAAGAGGCCATTCGGCCCATCGAGTCTGTGCGGCTCTTTGAAAAGAGCAATTAATGTTAATCCCACTCCCCAGCCCTTTCCCCATAACCTGCAAACCCGTCCTCCTCAAATACCCGTCCACCGCGTTTTTAAAAGTAGTTATCGAATCGGCCTCGACCGCCCTTTCAGGCAATGTTCCAGATTCGAACAACTCGCTGCGTGAAAAATTTACTTCTCACCTACTTCTTTTAGAGATTATTTTGAATCTGTGACCTTGAGTCACCGACACACCCACCAGTGGGAACAGTTTTTCCCTTTCTAACCCATCAAATCCCCTCATGATTTTGAAGACCTCTATTAGGTCCTCGTAACCTTCTCTGCTCCAATGAGGATAATCCCGGCCTCTCCAGCCTTTCCTCATCATCACGGTCCCTCATTCCTGGTCCCATCCTCGTAAATCTCCTCTGTACCCTTTCCAATGCCTTAACATCCTTCCTATAGTGTGGGGCCCAGAACTGGGGCAGTATTCTAACTGAGGCCTAACCAGTGTTTATATGGGTTAATCATAACCTCCTGACTCTTGTACTCTATGCCCCTATTTATAAAGCCCAGTATCCCATATGCCCTTTTTACAGCCTTATCTCCCTGTCCTGCCACCTTCAAGGATTCATTTACCTGCACCCCCAGGTCTCTCTGTTCTTTTACCCCTTTAAGATTGTATTATCAGCCTATATTGCCCCTCATTCTTTCTACCAAAATGAATTACCTCACATTTCTCCACATTGAAACTCATCTGCCATGTGTCGCCCATTTTACTATTCTGTCTATGTCTTCCTGCAGTTGGCTCCTATCCTTCTCACTGTTTACCCCCTCCCTAACTTTGTGTCGTCCGCAAACTTGGAAATGGTACTTGCTATACCCAAGTCCAGATCATTTATGTATATTAAGAAGAGCAGTGGTCCTAATACCGATCCCTGGGGACACCACTGTACACTTCCCTCCAGTCAGAAAAGCAGCCGTTCACCACAACTCTCTGCTTTCTGTCTCCCAGTGAGTTCTGGATCCGCTGCCACTGTCCCTTTTATACCGTGGACTTCTATCTTTCTTACAAGTCTTTCATGTGGCACTTTGTCAAAGGCCTTTTGAAAATCCATATAAACTACATCAACTGCACTACCATTATCCCCTCTCCGTTACCTCATCGAAAAATTCTATTAGATTTGTTAGACAAGATTTGCCTTTAACAAATCCATGTTGGCTGTCCCTAATTAACCCATATTCTTCTAAGTGAAGATTTATTGATAATAATAATAATCCTTGCATTTGATATAGCACTTCTTCACGTTTTCTCGACATCTCAAAGCGCTTCACAGAATAGACTGTAAAATGAATTGACCGTATATCTGTGGGCGAAACGCGGCAGCCAATTGCGCATAGTAGTGTCACACAACAACAACAACAAGATTCCATTTATAGAGCGCCTTTCACGTCGGGAGGACGTCCACACAAACAGTCATGGATTGAAAATGACCAATTTATTATTATTTTGGAGGGATTATTATTCTGTCCTGGATTATAGTCTCCAGGAGTTTCCCCACTACTGATGTTAGGCTGACTGGCCTGTAGTTCCCAGGTTTGTCCTCCTGTCCCTTTTTGTACATGGAGTCACATTGGCCACTCTCCAGTCCTCGGGCACCACTCCTGTGTTCAATGAAGATTGAAAAATTGTAGCCAAAGCCTCCGCTATTTGTACCCGTACCTCCCATAGTAACCTCGGCTGCATCCCGTCCGGACCAGGCGACCTATCACCTTCAGCCCAGTCAACCTTTTCAGTACTTCCTCTCCGTTTATACTTATCCTATGTATTTCCTCTCCCCTCTCCTCTGATACTGCGGCATTTGGTGCATCCATTTTTTTGTGAAGACAGATGCAAAGTACTCATTCAGTACATCAGCCGTGCCCTCTGCCTCCACAATAAGATTTCACCTTTGGTCCTTATTTGGCCCTACCCTACCTTTGACGAGCCTTTTTTTCTTGATATGTAATGTACATCCACATCTCAGATAACTGCAGATCCAGAGGAGATAAAGTGGCTTTGAAATTTAGTGGAGAAATCTGCCATCACATATGCAAGCACTGTAATCAGCAGCAACCTTTTCTCTACCCAGCAGCACAAGATGGAGCAAACTGACATAGATCTGTTATATAGATAAAAGAGAGAATGGAGGGTGGGAGGAAGGGAGATGAGCGAGAGAGAGACAGACAATTACAGAGATTTCAGAGTTAAAAACAACAACTTGCATTTATATAGCAACTTTCACGAGGGTTAGTGTCTCAGAACGATAAGCAATGCCGAGCCGGGAAGAAGGGGGAGGTGACCGTAAGCACGAAAAAAAGTCAGAAGACACAAAAGATAAAGAGAGGAGTCTGAAAGACACAGCGAGAGAGATATATAGAGATATATAAAGGGAAGACGAAAGAGAGTAGAAAGGGGAGAGACAAATAGAGGCAAAGAGTCACTGTGTGGGGGAGGAGAAATGGCTGACTTGCACAGTTACACTATAGTAACTGTATAACTCCCAATGATTTGCAAAGACGGTATAATGTGTTTTGTGTGATGACCTGATATCTGCACTGTTTTCATATTCAGAATCATTGTGGATATTGGGCTCACCACTGAAGTTTATATAATCTCTCACCGCTCTGCAAATAACTGAGAATCAGGTTACTTACTGACCACCTCTATTTTGGTTGTGTTGTGTCCTCCAGCCTCACTGTAACAGGACAGCAGCCAAACTGTAAGGCATCTGTGAATTGGTAACTTAATTTTTTAGCTCACTAAAACAACACAAGTGGCACAACACAGAGAGGCAGTGAAGGAGACTAAAACAATTCCTCAGTGTCCTAGTCTGAATACCATGGTCTTTCACCCACACAATATACAGTATGTTCTGTGAAGCGCTTTGAGACGTCTCAAAGACGTGATGAGCTGCATCAAATGCAAGTATTATTACTAAAATGACGAATTGTGAAAAATTCTTAATTTAGAAGCCAGTTTCTATACAGTACTAATATTTTTCTCCTGGCTCTCTCTATCCCTCTGCCCCTCCCAGCCTCGGTTCCTCTTCTCGCTCCCTCTGTTCCCTCCCTCTGCTGCCCCTCTCCCTTTCCTTCCCTGGTGCTGTCTCTCCGACTCTGCCCCTTCCCCATACCTGGCTGCCGTCATCCCCCTCCCGCCGCCGTCCGTTTTGCCGAGGGATCGCTGAGTAACCAATGCCCTCTTACCTCATAGGTGCTGGTAAGTCTGAGCCGGTAGAACATAGGAAGGAAGATGTGAGCTGGGATGAGGAGTCCCAGGAAGTAGGAGCAGCCGAGGAACCAGTATTCGGTGCCGAACCTGTAAATTTCAGCCGGGACGCCGAGGATGGCCACCGCTGACTGGAAGGTGGCGAGGAGCGACAGAGCTACCGGCAGGAAGCCCATGCTGCGATCGGCGAGCAGGAATTCCTGCGTGGTCCTTTGTTTCCCGCCATAGAGGGCGTAGAACAGTCCGATAGCAGAGGACAGGACCAGGAGCAGGACAAAGATGACATAGTCGATAGGAGTAAAGTGGATGATTGCAGGAGAGGCCATTTCCCAGTTGCCAGATCTTCGGCTAAAAGTGGTAACGAGCAGCCGAGATGTTGAGTCCAGCGAAGGCTGCTAACATCCAGGTGGCCGGGCAGCTCATGGGAAGTCAGAAGACACAGGGTTCAAAGGGGTAAATCAAGTCTGATCAGGATTGGAGAACACCTCACAGTCAACATTGCAATTGCTGGTTATGGAGTGCAGGAATCATTAACATTCACTGCACCAAGACCTTGCAAAATCACTCGGAGACTCATGTGGAATGTGGGGGTGGTGAGGGGGGGGGGCAAGTTGGCACAAGAACTTTCTTTAGTGTAAGCCTTTCATTAAACGAGAATTAGAAGATTCAGCATTAACCGCTTGGGGAATCGTTCCAAAGAAAACAAACTGGCCAATGAGGAGATTTGAAGGAGACTTGGGAGCAAGGGCATCACGAGGGCTTACGGCTTGGCTCAGATAGCGAGCGCAGTCACCCAAATAACATCACGTCCAAATAACATCACGTCCAAGGCGCTTGCTGTCAGCCTATGGAGAAACAAGATAAGAGAATTTAGTGAACAGCAGACAAAGCACAACCCTTTCCCTACAAACACGCAGTTCACAAACACGCATTTCACAAGTGAGAGTTCGGAATCAGGTGATAGCAGCTTTATACGCTCCAAATCTTAAGCAGGTGGAATGGCGGTAGGTAGGGGAAATTAAGTCGAAATGTACTCCATAATCCCAGTAAGAATTTGACCTTAGAATAAAAGCTGATTGTTCTGAGAAACTGCTCCTACCCCTCCTTCCCTCCCCATTTAGACAAAAGACTTCGTATTTTTATAGCACTTTATCATGCCACAAAGCCAAAATGCTTTTTGCTGTACTAACTGTCAAAAAAAAATCCTAGGCAAAGGCAGCTGCCATTTTGTATGTGACAAGGACCAGTTTTATCTGGGGGATCATCAGCCAGAAACTCTCTTCTCTTTTCCAACTGTGTCATGAGATTTTTAGTGTCCACTAGTTCAAGCAGCCAGGACCTCAGTTTGTTGTTTCACTGGTAATTAAATGGCAATTTTAATTTTCATTCCAAATCACCTCACTCCTATAAACTGCAATGACTATCAATCCACGGTGGGGGTGGAGGTAAGCAGAGTCTCTTAAGAGAACGTTAGCTCCAAGGTGAAGTGCCGAGCAAAGGAATGTTGGACAAAACACAAAATACTGTAAATGCTGGAAATCTGAAAACAAAGGAATATTGAATGGAATTGAGTTGATCTTTGTGGCAGTCTTACTAGTTCCCGAGCGAGACCGGTATATAGTACATGCTAATGACAGACCAGCCAGCATGCCTCATTCGCAGGACTTGGGATGGGTAGAGCAGTCATTGGGGACATGGAATTTTCCCACTCAGATCCTGTTATCCCTGCAAACCAAAGCCCTAACGGGTTGTAGGGTGGTCATAGTTGGACAAGCAGCAGGAAGCTTGTCAGTGCTCTACTGTAGTAGACTGCAGTTTTAGCTTAACTCTTACACCCTGTACTTAATACACTCCAGCATTGGATGAACAGGATGCATCTCTCCACAAACTATTCCATGCCAGACAAATAGATGTGGAACTCTCAATGATTTGGTTTGGCAATGATGGCCTTGTTGACCAAACATAAAAAGTTGCAATGGCGTGAAGGGAACAGAGAACAGATTCAGCAGACTGTTAAAGAAATAAAACATGTCACAGTCTGTTCTGATCCAAGGCAATCTTCCTGGCTGTCCTCCAGTGAAATGCTCATGAAGAAATAGGTTAAAAGTTATCACACAACACATAACAAGATCAAATATTGCTTGGAACAAAGTAAATGTTACATATGTCCCAATTGTTATCAAACTCTCAACAAAGTTTTAGACTAAATAATAATTTTACATTCATCCCACAATTTGAGGCAGCTTCCTGTGATACTTAGTTAATTGCTGAATGGCGAGATGGTATTTAATTGGTGTCTAAGATTCTGGCCATGTGACAACTTTACCAAAACAATACCAAATGACTTTCCCATTCTCACCACCAATTTTATAGTTTGAAGGTCTCTGAGATGGACAATGTGATGGCAAACATGTCACCAAGATATAGAGGGACCAGATGGTCTGCAATCACAGGAGCAGTCACTGGGGCAGCCATTCTTCCTACTCGGCTCCTGTTAATCCAGCAACACAAAACTGCAATAGGAAGTGGACACTCGGGAAAACGTTTACCAGACAGTGCTCTCAACAGCAAGTGATGTGGTTTTAGCTGGTTAAATTCCAGCAGTTATAGCCACTCTGGGGCCCCCAACCCACAACTAATACTCTCCAGCATTAGGTAAGTAGAATAAAAATATATATAATAATCCTTGCATTTGATATAGCGCATTTTACGTCTTCTAGACATCTCAAAGCGCTTTACAGAATAGAATAAAGTGAATTGACTGTATATTTGTGGGTGAAATGTGTCCCTCGGGGAGGGGAGGAAGGTGACCAAAGGCGCAGTCGAAAAGAAAGGTCTTCAGCCAAGATCTAAAAATAGGAAGAGAGGGCAAAGGTAGTGAGGAAGGGAGTTCTAGAGCTTCGGTGTGTAGTGGCTGAAGGCACAACCACCGAGGGTGGAGCCGAGGACTCGGGGAACAAGGAGGAGAGACCCGGTGGAACGAAGGCAACGGGCACTATTTGAGGAGAGAGGAGATCAGAGAGGTCGGGGGGGGCGCAGAAGAGTGGAGGGATTTGAAGACAAGGGTGAGGATCTTGAAGTCGATCCTCTCTGGGACAGGCAGCCAGTGCAGTCTGGCCAGGACTGGGGTAATCGGGGTGCGGGTAAGAATGCGGGCGGCAGAGTTTTGTATAACCTGGATTTTATGGATGGTAGTGGAGGGGAGACCGGCGAGGAGGGCATTTGAATAGTCCAGCTGAGAGGTGACAAAGGAATGGACCAGGGTTTCAGTGGCTTTTGGAGTGAGGTAGGTAGTATCTTCCAGCACTAAAGAAGCCTTAGGCAAGATTTTTTTTTACCCCACACACCTGTTTACCTAGCAGTGAGTAGAAACACGATTGTCAGCAGATTGGTGGATCGTTTTCTGGGGGTAATAATCCCTCAAAAAAAANTTCAATCCATGACTGTTGGTGGGATGCTGCTCCGCGCAATTGGCTGCCACATTTTGCCCACAAAATATACGGTTGCAATATTCTGTGAAGCGCTTTGAGATGTCTTAGCATTCTCCAACTCACGTGAAAAGGGGCCAAAAAATCAAATGGAAGGATTATTAATAGAAGGCTATGTGATAGTGGGGAGGAGCACAAGCACCAGGCTGGAGGATGGAGGCTGGAGGGATGTGGGTCTGTGTTCTCTCACAGATATAATACTAATACACATAACACAGATGTAGATAGCCAGGGGAAGGATTTACAGATGTTTCAAGAAGTTCGCTTTAACAAATCACCAGAAGGAACGAATGCTGGAGGGAGGAAAGTGACAGACATTTTGCAGCAAATCTCTATTTAGTAGCAATAACATGGAGCGGATTACAGGCAAGATATGATTTTTTTTCCGAGCAGTTTACCACAACTGAATGATTCAAAATGTCACATGTAGTGAGTCGTTGTTCAGAATATGTGGCGGACATTTTGCACCCAAGAAAGTCCCAGAAACAACACAAGAACAAATGAGCGATTAATCTGGAGGACTGGCGGCCAGCACACCAGGGGAACTCCCTTCTCTTTTCCAATAGCCCTGCAAGATCCTTAATTTTGACCTGAAAACGCAGATAGATGGGACCTCAAACATCCTCAAAGCACGGCACCTCTGACAATGCACCGCTCCTCCTAATATCACTCGGAATACCAATCTATTGTACATTTTCTCCCACAAAATAAAGTTGATTCACTTTACAGTATATTCTTTGAAGGGCTTTGAGTCATCTCGAAGATGTGATACGCCTCCACATGCCTCTGTTTACCTAGCAGTAAGAAGGAAACTTTTTGTTAGTCGATTGACGATCAGTTTTCCGGGGTTAATAGTGCCTTCAAAAAAATTGTAATAATAATTTGGTCACTCGATCCACGACTGTTTGTGGGACGCTGCTGTGCACAATTGGCTGCCGCGTTTCGCCCACAAAATATACATTCAATTCACTTTACAGTATATTCTGTGATGCGCTTTGAGACGTCTCGAAGATGTAATAAAGCGCTAAATCACAGCACAGAGTCAGCGCTTGTCAAAGTCACAAAGGCCATCCTCTTTATCTGTAACCAGGGATCCATCTGCCTCCTCATCCTCATGGATCGCTCTACCGCGTTCGACAGTCGACCATGCCATCCTCCGCCACTGCTTCTCCTCCCCCATCCACCTTAGTGGGACCGCACTCACATGGTTCTAGTCCTACAGAACCAACCGCTTCCATTTCACCTCAGCAAATGGTTTCTCCTCCCCCCTCTGCTCGGACACCTGAGGGGTAACAGAGGGCTCCATCCTTGGCCCTCTTCTTTTCCTCATCTATACGCTCCCTCGGGGCGATGTCATCTGCAAACATGTATGTATGTACTTACGTACATACATGCATGCATGCAAAGGAAGCAAAGTAAGTTTGGGTGTCATCCGCATGCATGTATTAATACTCCAAGTCTGACGATGTTCTAACAGCTTGTCTGGCAGAATTCAAGGCCTGGATGAGTGTAAACTTCCTGCACGTGGAATGTGGACAAGAAGGAAGCCATACTCCTTGGTTTCTGTCAACATCTTCACTCCTGCAGATCTGAACTGCTCAACCTCCTTGGTCTCTCCCTCACACTCACCGAACCAGTGCACAATCAAGGCATCCAGTTCAACCTTCAGCTGTTGTTCCTCCCCGACATCCGGTTCCTGACCAGGACCGCCTTCTTCCACCTGTGCAACATTGCCTGCAACATCTGACCTACCTTATCCCAAATGCAGCCGAAACCCTTGTGCATGCATTTGTCACCTCCCACTTGGATTACTCAAACGCACTCCTCGCCGGTCTCCCCAGCTTTACCATTCAAGAGATCCAGCTCACTCAGAACTCTGCCGCCCGCATACTGACCGGGACCAGACTCCGTACCCACATCTCACCAGTTCTTCCCATCACTGAATGGATTGAGTTGAAGATCCTTACACTCGTGTTCAAATCCCTTCACTCTCTGGCACCTCCCTACCTCTTCACTCTTCAATCCACCACCTGGAGGCTCCGCTTGACTGGCACTGCTCATACCCCACACTCTCTGCCCCACCATCAGAGGTCGTGCTTTCTGCCACTACACCCCGAAACTCCGGAACACTCTTCCTCAATCCTTCCGCCTTGCCCCCTCTCTCCCGTTTTTCAAGTCCAACCTGAAAATCTTCCTCTTCAACCATGCTTACGGCCACTACCCCTGGCTCGGAGTTAGGCTCCGCCACTGCTAAGCGCTCTGAGACACGACCCTGCGTGGAGGGCGTTATATAAATTGTTGGGCGCAAGTTGCTGTATACCAAATTCAAGGATTATTATTATTATTATTACAGTCTCCTGATCCAGAGACGAGACAGTTACCTCCTGAGCCAAGACGTCACAATGAAAGTTGGCACGGAATGCTTCTGACAGATTAAGCTGTGTGACTAA